CATTTGAACTTCGCGAAGCGTACGCCGACTGGAGTCTAGAACGTTATCCACGACATTCATCTTTGCAGGATTGATAAGTCAGTTTCGCATATTGGACTGCATTGTTGATTATGCAGTGTCTTTACGAATCGTTACGTGTTTGTTATCTCAATTCTACAGTTTCGGTTCCGTCATGAAGAAAACCAACGAGCGTCTGGCGACGGGATTAGATTGGCAGACAAGCCTTTGCGAACGAGTCGGCCGGGCAATGCTGATTGGCTACACTGGTGTGGAGCCGGCCCCAGACGGAGTCCCTCCTGCAGGGTTCGCTGCTGGAGTAGCTTCTGCGCTCTACACGTTCTGGGGAGCGTCGATTGGCACTCCAGCAGAAGGTTAAAAAACAGGCGCCATAACAGTCGGGGCGGAACTGCGACAACGAGGAGCTGTCGAAGCAAGCTACAAAAGCTGCTCGATGCGGCATGGTTGCATTGCATCAAGTCGCAGACAACCGGTTCGTAAAGAAGGAATGGAACTCGGTGTTGGAGGGGAAAATTGTTGCAATGCGAACCCTGCAGGAGGGACTCCACACCAGTGCAGCCAATCAGCATTGCTCGGCCGACTCGTTCGCAGAGGCCAGTCTGTCAATCTACTCCCGTCGCCAGACGCTCGTTGGTTTTCTTCATGACGGAACCGAAACTGTAGAATTGAGATAACAAACACGTAACGATTCGTTAAGACACTGTGTATTCGACAATCTAGTCCAATATGCGAAACTGACTTATCAATCCTGCAAAGATGAATGTCGTGGATAACGATCTAGACTCCAACGCTTCGCGAAGTTAAAATGTTCCGATCACGCTTTGACGTCCGTCTCACCCATGCTGTAGAAGAGCAAGTCAGTATCTGAATAGTAGGCCATCCAACAGATGATGATACTGAAGTTCCTGCTCCGCTCGCTCTCATGAATACCCATGTTTCTTTTCTTCCCATTGACTGTCTGTTCGGAGCATAACTTTCCAAGCGCTTCTCCCTTCTTCCGCCTGAAAAACCCACCTACCTTGGACGGCTTTCCTACAACCCTCGTCTTCCCCAGCTATTCATTCAAACATATGTTGGCAAGGGTCCTCGTTTGCACTCACCTCCCTTGAATGGATTCCCAGACGTCTCAATGCCGAAGCTAGAATACCACCTCTCAAGCCTGCATCTCACCTTTCAAAGCTGGGTCGCACCTTTCAAAGCTGAGTCGCACCTTTCAAAGTTGGGTCGCACCTTTCAAAGCTGGGTCACACCTTACAAAGATGGGTCGTACCATTCAAAGTTGGGTCGCACCTTTGAAAGCCGGGTCGCACTTCAAAACTGTGTCGCACCTTTCAAAGCTGGGTCACCTTTCAAAGCTGGGTCGCACCTTTCAAAGCTGGGTCGCACATTTCAAAGCTGGGTCGCACTTCGGCGAGAATGGGTCCGTAAACGGCGCCCTTGCACTGGATTCTCAGAAATCTTAAAGCTGAAGTTGAATCCCACCTCTAAAAATTGCATCTCACCTCTCACAACTGCATCGCACCTCAGCGAGGATGGGTCCGTAGACGGCCCCCTTGCACTGAGCGCGGTTGTGGTCGAGCCACTCACACGCCTGCTTCAGCTCCCTGTCACCCGCCCGCTCTATGCGCCGGTTGCGACTGTTGGCCACTTCGTTTATGCTGGTGGGCGGAGACGAGGGGGAGGGGGGGGGGGGAGAGGGGGAGTGGTGGGTGGTGGAAGGGTGGGGTTGGAACATGTCAAACCCCTTCCTATGCGCCGGTTGCGACCGTTGGCCACCTTATGCATGCTGGTGAGGGGAGGGGGAAGGGGGGGGAATGGTGAGGGAGCATGAGACCTCTGTATGTGCCTGTTGGCGCATGAGGGTGGGTGAGACGAGGGGGGAGGGAAGGGGGATGAGCGTCGACTCAAATGGTACTCTTGCATTACGCGGCCTTGGGAGAGGAAGGGGAGGGGCAGTACTGCAGATACACAACTCAATAAACCCAAATCTCCCTCCTCTCACTGCCTCCCACCCCTTCGCACTGCTCTCGTCCCCTCTCACTGCCTCACATCCCCTCTCACCCCGTCTCACCGCCTATCACCCCCTCTCACCGCCTCTCACTGCCTCACATCCCCTCTCACCCCGTCTCACCGCCTATCACCCCCTCTCACCACCTCTCACCCCCTCTCACCATCTCTCCACGCGCCCCAGCTGCCACTTTCCTTCTCGCCTCTTCTCACCCCTCACTCTCCCTCCCTCACACCCTTCTCACCGTCTCTCAACGCGTCCCATCTGCTCCCTCAGCACACTCATCTGCTGCTCCAGCTGCCGCCCCTCTCGCTCTTTCTCCCCCGCCTGCATCCGCAACTCCCTCCCACGTTTTGCCAAAGGATCCTACCATCGGCCAGACAAGGGTGAGTGAAACAAACGGAGGGAGCGAGGGGAGGGAGATTTGAGACATTTGAGGGAGAAAGGAAATAAGATGACGAGAGAAAAAAAGGGAACTCGAAGAAAGGGTTTGAGGTTCACGTGGAGGAGGAAGAGGCATGCATGCCACTCAAGCAAGCAAGCAAGCACAGACTGAAGAAAGAAATCTGCCTTCCGCCAAGTGCCATGTGGCAACTGGAATTGGTGGCTTGTCCTTCAACCTCCTGCGCTGGTCTCACACTCAAGTCTCAATAGTACCCACTTCACTTCTCTGTACCATATCTAATTGTTCGGCTCGTCTAGGCATACAGAAAAGGGCCAGACACGGGGGAGAGATGGCACGGAAATGGAGTGATGAAGCATCTCAGAAAGAACAGCTCCCTGTTTCCCCCATCATGCACCACAGCGTCCTTGGGTGGCTTCATTTCCAGCAGGGAGGCCAGCTGCGACTCCAGCTGCTGCTGGTTGCTCGAGCGCACGCACACACACTCACTGCCTCACCCTCACTCATCATCTTGTGCCCCATGCCCCATGCCCACCCCCCCCCTCTTCCATCACGCACCACGGCGGCCTTGGGCGGTTTCACTTCCGGCAGTGCGGCCAGCTGCGCGTCCAGCTGCTGCAGGTCGTCCCGAGCTCGCTCCAGAACACGCACGCACCCACTCATCGCCTCACCCATGATCTCATGCCCCACGCCCCATGCTCCCCCCTTTTTTCCATCACGCACCACGGCGGCCTTGGGCGGTTTGACTTCCGGCAGGGCGGCGAGCTGCGCCTCCAGCTGCTGCAGGTCGGCCAGTGCCTTGGCCAGCCGCTGCTCGCGACTCTCCGCCTTCTTCTTCGCCTCCAGCACGTCGCGATGCCTCTCCACCGCCTGCTGCACCTGTGGGGGCACACAGGGGGAGCGTACATTGTACAGTGTGTGGTGTGATGTGAGAAGACCTTTTGGGGATAGACTACGTTGATCTCAGCCTCTCGCCCTCTGCGCCTCCACCACGTCCCTCTCCCTCTCCACCGCCTGCTGCACCTGTGGGGGCAAAGGGGCCGAGAATGTGTACAGTACAGTGTATGATGCACAGTGTGAGGGGAGGAGCAATTTCAGATTCAAACTAAGCTGGTCTCCCTCTCTTGCCATGTGCACCTCCCCCACCACGTTCCGCTCCCTCTCAAGGGAGGCGAGCAGCTGTGAGATGATGTGATGCGAGGAGCACGTCTCTCCCAGGTGCAAGGTTGGTACCTTTTGCGGTGCCCCAAACGTCAGCTAAGCACGTCAATACTACCCTTTGCCACCCTTCGCTTCGCATCAGCTGGTCACTCTCCCTTTCCCCACATTCCTTATTCCTCCTTACCAGCTGGTCACTCTCCTCTGCCAGTTCCCGCAGCTTCCTCTCCCTCGCCTCGTTCTCGCGCCCTATCTTCGCCACCAGCGATGCAAACCCCCCTCGACTCTCCTTCAACGCTCTGGAGGGGAGGAAAGAGTGGTGGAGACGGGTTGAGAATGCGGGAGAGGTGGTGGCGAGGAGTGAAAAAAGTAGAAGTCAGACCAGCAACCTGAATCCATTAACTGTTAACTGGTAACCACGTAACATCCTCTAACACTCAGCACTCACACAAGGGGGTCCCGGGCGGCCATGACTTGTGTCTGCAGGTCATCCCTCTCTTTGTGCATCGCCTCCACCGCTACCTCCATCTCCCTCACGCGCCACTTCACCCGCTCGTACTTGAGCCATGGCACCTTCTTCTTCATCAGCGCTACCTGCATGGGTGGAGGGTGGAGTAGGAGGGGGGGAAAGGGAGCGGAAGGAGGAGCAAATGAGGACGTCATCGCCCGCCGCTTCATGCGCTCGTACTTGAGCTATGTCACCTTCTTCTTCATCAGTGCGACCTGCATGCAGGGAGCAGAGGGGGAGAGAGTGGGAGGAGGAGAGGGCGGAAGGAGGAGAGTGGAAGTGGGGAAGAGAGTCTGGTTCGACCTGCAGTTCCCCCCCACCTTACACAGGTTTCGACCTGCAGTTCCCCCCCACCTTACACAGGTTTCGACCTGCAGTTGCCACTAGAGAACGGTACAATACTAGAGAGCTAGGGGTGCGTGGGAGCAAGCTAAGGAGAGAGTTGGAAGTTGGAGGTAAGCTTCAACTCACCAATCGCTTCAGCAATATGAAGTTGAACCGAACTGAACAGTTTGAACTCAAACCATGCTCCATTCAAGTCGAACTGTATCTGACAGACAGGATAACTGTGCTCAGGTCTACTCACACACCCATCACGCCTCTCACACCCACCTCCACCTCCACAAGGTGACCTTTGGGACAAATCACCCCCCAACAGCACCACTCACCTCCTTGAGAATGGCCTCCCTGCGTTGCACCTTCTCCACATCCACCTCCACCTGCGCGTTCGCCACCTGCAGCTTGCCCAGCTGCTCCTCGTGTGACACCAACGTCTGCGGCGCAATAGGGATATGGCATGTATGGGCGCATGGAGGCATGCGGCCATGAGATCCATACCATGGGTTGGATTGGAAGCATGCATGTAGGTTGGTATGCTCTTGGTGAGTATGTGTGCAGGCAATTTGGATTAAAAATCCTTAGGTTGAGAAGTCCAATACCTGCTTAACCAGCACTGGAGAAATGCGCGGCTGCTCGGCACAAAAAGGAAACCCAGCCCCATTTCACGGCGTGCAGGGTGGCGAGGGCGTCCTGCTGGTCCTTGAGGAAGGCGTGCTGCTGGGACAGCTGTGGGTCGACTCTTGAGTCGACACAAAGGTACCCCCACCCACTCCAGAAGCCCCCACCCCAGCCCCATGTCACTCACAGCATGCAGGGTGGCGAGGGCGTCCTGCTGGTCTTTGAGGAAGGCGTGCTGCTGGGACAGCTGTGGGGTGACTCGTAAATCGAAAGGACCCCCACCCACATCTCACCACATGCACGCAACACACAAAGGAACTCCCAGCCCCATCATACCGCGTGCAGGGTGGCGAGGGCGTCCTGCTGGTCTTTGAGGAAGGCGTGCTGCTGGGAGAGCTGTGGGTCGCCCACTGCCCTTTGCGTCTCCTCCAGCAGCTGTATGGGCGACATGCCCGCGAACGCACACACCCGGTCCTGTGGGAGGAACTGCGGGTGACAAGGGGGCGGAGGGCGAGAGGGGATGGGAAAGGGAGAAGCGGATAGGGGGAAGGGGGATGGGGAAGGGGGAAGGGTGATGGGGAAGGGGTAAAGGGGATGGAGAAGGGGGAAGGGGGATGAGGAACGGGGTTCGATAAAAGGGGGATCCTCCAGCAGCTGCACGAGTGACATGCCTGCAAACACACACATGAGGACTTTCAAGAGGAACTGCAGCTGAGATATTCGGGGGAAATGAGGGGGTGTGGTGTGGCTAGAAGTGGGATTCGGTTGAAGTGAAAACAACTGTGATGGCGTTGAAGCAGAAGAGAGAAGGGGGGCGAGCGAGATGGGGTGGGCTGTTGTGCATGTCTTTGGAAGGCACACCTCTTGCCCCACTGCACTGCACTTGCCTGTGTGACGTTGGAAATCTGGATGTTGAAGCGTTTCATGCACTCCTGCACCTGCTTTTGAGACGTCTCAAAAACACCCTCATTTCACGTCGCAGCATGCCCCACAGCACTTGAAGCGCTTCACTATGTGCCCCACAGCACTTGAAGCGCTTCACTATGTGCCCCACAGCACTTGAAGCGCTTCACTATGTGCCCCACAGCACTTGAAGCGCTTCACTATGTGCCCCACAGCACTTGAAGCGCTTCACTATGTGCCCCACAGCACTTGAAGCGATTCACTATGTGCCCCACAGCACTTGAAGCGCTTCACTATGTGCCCCACAGCACTTGAAGCGCTTCACTATGTGCCCCACAGCACTTGAAGCGCTTCACTATGTGCCCCACAGCACTTGAAGCGCTTCACTATGTGCCCCACAGCACTTGAAGCGCTTCACTATGTGCCCCACAGCACTTGAAGTGATTCACTATGTGCCCCACAGCACTTGAAGCGCTTCACTATGTGCCCCACAGCACTTGAAGCGCTTCACTATGTGCCCCACAGCACTTGAAGCGCTTCACTATGTGCCCCACAGCACTTGAAGCGATTCACTATGTGCCCCACAGCACTTGAAGCGATTCACTATGTGCCCCACAGCACTTGAAGCGCTTCACTATGTGCCCCACAGCACTTGAAGCGCTTCACTATGTGCCCCACAGCACTTGAAGCGCTTCACTATGTGCCCCACAGCACTTGAAGCGCTTCACTATGTGCCCCACAGCACTTGAAGCGCTTCACTATGTGCCCCACAGCACTTGAAGCGCTTCACTATGTGCCCCACAGCACTTGAAGCGCTTCACTATGTGCCCCACAGCACTTGAAGCGCTTCACTATGTGCCCCACAGCACTTGAAGCGATTCACTATGTGCCCCACAGCACTTGAAGCGCTTCACTATGTGCCCCACAGCACTTGAAGCGCTTCACTATGTGCCCCACAGCACTTGAAGCGCTTCACTATGTGCCCCACAGCACTTGAAGCGCTTCACTATGTGCCCCACAGCACTTGAAGCGCTTCACTATGTGCCCCACAGCACTTGAAGTGATTCACTATGTGCCCCACAGCACTTGAAGCGCTTCACTATGTGCCCCACAGCACTTGAAGCGCTTCACTATGTGCCCCACAGCACTTGAAGCGCTTCACTATGTGCCCCACAGCACTTGAAGCGATTCACTATGTGCCCCACAGCACTTGAAGCGATTCACTATGTGCCCCACAGCACTTGAAGCGCTTCACTATGTGCCCCACAGCACTTGAAGCGCTTCACTATGTGCCCCACAGCACTTGAAGCGCTTCACTATGTGCCCCACAGCACTTGAAGCGCTTCACTATGTGCCCCACAGCACTTGAAGCGCTTCACTATGTGCCCCACAGCACTTGAAGCGCTTCACTATGTGCCCCACAGCACTTGAAGCGATTCACTATGTGCCCCACAGCACTTGAAGCGCTTCACTATGTGCCCCACAGCACTTGAAGCGCTTCACTATGTGCCCCACAGCACTTGAAGCGCTTCACTATGTGCCCCACAGCACTTGAAGCGCTTCACTATGTGCCCCACAGCACTTGAAGCGCTTCACTATGTGCCCCACAGCACTTGAAGCGCTTCACTATGTGCCCCACAGCACTTGAAGCGCTTCACTATGTGCCCCACAGCACTTGAAGCGCTTCACTATGTGCCCCACAGCACTTGAAGCGCTTCACTATGTGCCCCACAGCACTTGAAGCGCTTCACTATGTGCCCCACAGCACTTGAAGCGATTCACTATGTGCCCCACAGCACTTGAAGCGCTTCACTATGTGCCCCACAGCACTTGAAGCGCTTCACTATGTGCCCCACAGCACTTGAAGCGCTTCACTATGTGCCCCACAGCACTTGAAGCGCTTCACTATGTGCCCCACAGCACTTGAAGCGCTTCACTATGTGCCCCACAGCACTTGAAGCGCTTCACTATGTGCCCCACAGCACTTGAAGTGCTTCACTATGTGCCCCACAGCACTTGAAGCGCTTCACTATGTGCCCCACAGCACTTGAAGCGCTTCACTATGTGCCCCACAGCACTTGAAGCGATTCACTATGTGCCCCACAGCACTTGAAGCGCTTCACTATGTGCCCCACAGCACTTGAAGCGCTTCACTATGTGCCCCACAGCACTTGAAGCGCTTCACTATGTGCCCCACAGCACTTGAAGCGATTCACTATGTGCCCCACAGCACTTGAAGCACTTCACTATGTGCCCCACAGCACTTGAAGCGCTTCACTATGTGCCCCACAGCACTTGAAGCGCTTCACTATGTGCCCCACAGCACTTGAAGCGCTTCACTATGTGCCCCACAGCACTTGAAGCGCTTCACTATGTGCCCCACAGCACTTGAAGCGCTTCACTATGTGCCCCACAGCACTTGAAGCGCTTCACTATGTGCCCCACAGCACTTGAAGCGCTTCACTATGTGCCCCACAGCACTTGAAGCGCTTCACTATGTGCCCCACAGCACTTGAAGCGATTCACTATGTGCCCCACAGCACTTGAAGCGCTTCACTATGTGCCCCACAGCACTTGAAGCGCTTCACTATGTGCCCCACAGCACTTGAAGCGCTTCACTATGTGCCCCACAGCACTTGAAGCGCTTCACTATGTGCCCCACAGCACTTGAAGCGCTTCACTATGTGCCCCACAGCACTTGAAGTGATTCACTATGTGCCCCACAGCACTTGAAGCGCTTCACTATGTGCCCCACAGCACTTGAAGCGCTTCACTATGTGCCCCACAGCACTTGAAGCGCTTCACTATGTGCCCCACAGCACTTGAAGCGATTCACTATGTGCCCCACAGCACTTGAAGCGATTCACTATGTGCCCCACAGCACTTGAAGCGCTTCACTATGTGCCCCACAGCACTTGAAGCGCTTCACTATGTGCCCCACAGCACTTGAAGCGCTTCACTATGTGCCCCACAGCACTTGAAGCGCTTCACTATGTGCCCCACAGCACTTGAAGCGCTTCACTATGTGCCCCACAGCACTTGAAGCGCTTCACTATGTGCCCCACAGCACTTGAAGCGATTCACTATGTGCCCCACAGCACTTGAAGCGCTTCACTATGTGCCCCACAGCACTTGAAGCGCTTCACTATGTGCCCCACAGCACTTGAAGCGCTTCACTATGTGCCCCACAGCACTTGAAGCGCTTCACTATGTGCCCCACAGCACTTGAAGCGCTTCACTATGTGCCCCACAGCACTTGAAGCGCTTCACTATGTGCCCCACAGCACTTGAAGCGCTTCACTATGTGCCCCACAGCACTTGAAGCGCTTCACTATGTGCCCCACAGCACTTGAAGCGCTTCACTATGTGCCCCACAGCACTTGAAGCGCTTCACTATGTGCCCCACAGCACTTGAAGCGATTCACTATGTGCCCCACAGCACTTGAAGCGCTTCACTATGTGCCCCACAGCACTTGAAGCGCTTCACTATGTGCCCCACAGCACTTGAAGCGCTTCACTATGTGCCCCACAGCACTTGAAGCGCTTCACTATGTGCCCCACAGCACTTGAAGCGCTTCACTATGTGCCCCACAGCACTTGAAGCGCTTCACTATGTGCCCCACAGCACTTGAAGTGCTTCACTATGTGCCCCACAGCACTTGAAGCGCTTCACTATGTGCCCCACAGCACTTGAAGCGCTTCACTATGTGCCCCACAGCACTTGAAGCGATTCACTATGTGCCCCACAGCACTTGAAGCGCTTCACTATGTGCCCCACAGCACTTGAAGCGCTTCACTATGTGCCCCACAGCACTTGAAGCGCTTCACTATGTGCCCCACAGCACTTGAAGCGATTCACTATGTGCCCCACAGCACTTGAAGCACTTCACTATGTGCCCCACAGCACTTGAAGCGCTTCACTATGTGCCCCACAGCACTTGAAGCGCTTCACTATGTGCCCCACAGCACTTGAAGCGCTTCACTATGTGCCCCACAGCACTTGAAGCGATTCACTATGTGCCCCACAGCACTTGAAGCGCTTCACTATGTGCCCCACAGCACTTGAAGCGCTTCACTATGTGCCCCACAGCACTTGAAGCGCTTCACTATGTGCCCCACAGCACTTGAAGCGCTTCACTATGTGCCCCACAGCACTTGAAGCGCTTCACTATGTGCCCCACAGCACTTGAAGCGCTTCACTATGTGCCCCACAGCACTTGAAGCGCTTCACTATGTGCCCCACAGCACTTGAAGCGCTTCACTATGTGCCCCACAGCACTTGAAGCGCTTCACTATGTGCCCCACAGCACTTGAAGCGCTTCACTATGTGCCCCACAGCACTTGAAGCGCTTCACTATGTGCCCCACAGCACTTGAAGTGATTCACTATGTGCCCCACAGCACTTGAAGCGCTTCACTATGTGCCCCACAGCACTTGAAGCGCTTCACTATGTGCCCCACAGCACTTGAAGCGCTTCACTATGTGCCCCACAGCACTTGAAGCGATTCACTATGTGCCCCACAGCACTTGAAGCGATTCACTATGTGCCCCACAGCACTTGAAGCGCTTCACTATGTGCCCCACAGCACTTGAAGCGCTTCACTATGTGCCCCACAGCACTTGAAGCGCTTCACTATGTGCCCCACAGCACTTGAAGCGCTTCACTATGTGCCCCACAGCACTTGAAGCGCTTCACTATGTGCCCCACAGCACTTGAAGCGCTTCACTATGTGCCCCACAGCACTTGAAGCGATTCACTATGTGCCCCACAGCACTTGAAGCGCTTCACTATGTGCCCCACAGCACTTGAAGCGCTTCACTATGTGCCCCACAGCACTTGAAGCGCTTCACTATGTGCCCCACAGCACTTGAAGCGCTTCACTATGTGCCCCACAGCACTTGAAGCGCTTCACTATGTGCCCCACAGCACTTGAAGCGCTTCACTATGTGCCCCACAGCACTTGAAGCGCTTCACTATGTGCCCCACAGCACTTGAAGCGCTTCACTATGTGCCCCACAGCACTTGAAGCGCTTCACTATGTGCCCCACAGCACTTGAAGCGCTTCACTATGTGCCCCACAGCACTTGAAGCGATTCACTATGTGCCCCACAGCACTTGAAGCGCTTCACTATGTGCCCCACAGCACTTGAAGCGCTTCACTATGTGCCCCACAGCACTTGAAGCGCTTCACTATGTGCCCCACAGCACTTGAAGCGCTTCACTATGTGCCCCACAGCACTTGAAGCGCTTCACTATGTGCCCCACAGCACTTGAAGCGCTTCACTATGTGCCCCACAGCACTTGAAGCGCTTCACTATGTGCCCCACAGCACTTGAAGCGCTTCACTATGTGCCCCACAGCACTTGAAGCGCTTCACTATGTGCCCCACAGCACTTGAAGCGATTCACTATGTGCCCCACAGCACTTGAAGCGCTTCACTATGTGCCCCACAGCACTTGAAGCGCTTCACTATGTGCCCCACAGCACTTGAAGCGCTTCACTATGTGCCCCACAGCACTTGAAGCGATTCACTATGTGCCCCACAGCACTTGAAGCACTTCACTATGTGCCCCACAGCACTTGAAGCGCTTCACTATGTGCCCCACAGCACTTGAAGCGCTTCACTATGTGCCCCACAGCACTTGAAGCGCTTCACTATGTGCCCCACAGCACTTGAAGCGATTCACTATGTGCCCCACAGCACTTGAAGCGCTTCACTATGTGCCCCACAGCACTTGAAGCGCTTCACTATGTGCCCCACAGCACTTGAAGCGCTTCACTATGTGCCCCACAGCACTTGAAGCGCTTCACTATGTGCCCCACAGCACTTGAAGCGCTTCACTATGTGCCCCACAGCACTTGAAGCGCTTCACTATGTGCCCCACAGCACTTGAAGCGCTTCACTATGTGCCCCACAGCACTTGAAGCGCTTCACTATGTGCCCCACAGCACTTGAAGCGATTCACTATGTGCCCCACAGCACTTGAAGCGCTTCACTATGTGCCCCACAGCACTTGAAGCGCTTCACTATGTGCCCCACAGCACTTGAAGCGCTTCACTATGTGCCCCACAGCACTTGAAGCGATTCACTATGTGCCCCACAGCACTTGAAGCACTTCACTATGTGCCCCACAGCACTTGAAGCGCTTCACTATGTGCCCCACAGCACTTGAAGCGCTTCACTATGTGCCCCACAGCACTTGAAGCGCTTCACTATGTGCCCCACAGCACTTGAAGCGATTCACTATGTGCCCCACAGCACTTGAAGCGCTTCACTATGTGCCCCACAGCACTTGAAGCGCTTCACTATGTGCCCCACAGCACTTGAAGCGATTCACTATGTGCCCCACAGCACTTGAAGCGCTTCACTATGTGCCCCACAGCACTTGAAGCGCTTCACTATGTGCCCCACAGCACTTGAAGCGCTTCACTATGTGCCCCACAGCACTTGAAGCGATTCACTATGTGCCCCACAGCACTTGAAGCACTTCACTATGTGCCCCACAGCACTTGAAGCGCTTCACTATGTGCCCCACAGCACTTGAAGCGCTTCACTATGTGCCCCACAGCACTTGAAGCGCTTCACTATGTGCCCCACAGCACTTGAAGCGATTCACTATGTGCCCCACAGCACTTGAAGCGCTTCACTATGTGCCCCACAGCACTTGAAGCGCTTCACTATGTGCCCCACAGCACTTGAAGCGCTTCACTATGTGCCCCACAGCACTTGAAGCGCTTCACTATGTGCCCCACAGCACTTGAAGCGCTTCACTATGTGCCCCACAGCACTTGAAGCGCTTCACTATGTGCCCCACAGCACTTGAAGCGCTTCACTATGTGCCCCACAGCACTTGAAGCGCTTCACTATGTGCCCCACAGCACTTGAAGCGATTCACTATGTGCCCCACAGCACTTGAAGCGCTTCACTATGTGCCCCACAGCACTTGAAGCGCTTCACTATGTGCCCCACAGCACTTGAAGCGCTTCACTATGTGCCCCACAGCACTTGAAGCGCTTCACTATGTGCCCCACAGCACTTGAAGCGCTTCACTATGTGCCCCACAGCACTTGAAGCGCTTCACTATGTGCCCCACAGCACTTGAAGCGCTTCACTATGTGCCCCACAGCACTTGAAGCGCTTCACTATGTGCCCCACAGCACTTGAAGCGATTCACTATGTGCCCCACAGCACTTGAAGCGCTTCACTATGTGCCCCACAGCACTTGAAGCGCTTCACTATGTGCCCCACAGCACTTGAAGCGATTCACTATGTGCCCCACAGCACTTGAAGCGCTTCACTATGTGCCCCACAGCACTTGAAGCGCTTCACTATGTGCCCCACAGCACTTGAAGCGCTTCACTATGTGCCCCACAGCACTTGAAGCGCTTCACTATGTGCCCCACAGCACTTGAAGCGCTTCACTATGTGCCCCACAGCACTTGAAGCGATTCACTATGTGCCCCACAGCACTTGAAGCACTTCACTATGTGCCCCACAGCACTTGAAGCGCTTCACTATGTGCCCCACAGCACTTGAAGCGCTTCACTATGTGCCCCACAGCACTTGAAGCGCTTCACTATGTGCCCCACAGCACTTGAAGCGATTCACTATGTGCCCCACAGCACTTGAAGCGCTTCACTATGTGCCCCACAGCACTTGAAGCGCTTCACTATGTGCCCCACAGCACTTGAAGCGCTTCACTATGTGCCCCACAGCACTTGAAGCGCTTCACTATGTGCCCCACAGCACTTGAAGCGCTTCACTATGTGCCCCACAGCACTTGAAGCGCTTCACTATGTGCCCCACAGCACTTGAAGCGCTTCACTATGTGCCCCACAGCACTTGAAGCGCTTCACTATGTGCCCCACAGCACTTGAAGCGATTCACTATGTGCCCCACAGCACTTGAAGCGCTTCACTATGTGCCCCACAGCACTTGAAGCGCTTCACTATGTGCCCCACAGCACTTGAAGCGCTTCACTATGTGCCCCACAGCACTTGAAGCGCTTCACTATGTGCCCCACAGCACTTGAAGCGCTTCACTATGTGCCCCACAGCACTTGAAGCGCTTCACTATGTGCCCCACAGCACTTGAAGCGCTTCACTATGTGCCCCACAGCACTTGAAGCGCTTCACTATGTGCCCCACAGCACTTGAAGCGATTCACTATGTGCCCCACAGCACTTGAAGCGCTTCACTATGTGCCCCACAGCACTTGAAGCGCTTCACTATGTGCCCCACAGCACTTGAAGCGCTTCACTATGTGCCCCACAGCACTTGAAGCGCTTCACTATGTGCCCCACAGCACTTGAAGCGCTTCACTATGTGCCCCACAGCACTTGAAGCGCTTCACTATGTGCCCCACAGCACTTGAAGCGATTCACTATGTGCCCCACAGCACTTGAAGCGCTTCACTATGTGCCCCACAGCACTTGAAGCGCTTCACTATGTGCCCCACAGCACTTGAAGCGCTTCACTATGTGCCCCACAGCACTTGAAGCGCTTCACTATGTGCCCCACAGCACTTGAAGCGCTTCACTATGTGCCCCACAGCACTTGAAGCGCTTCACTATGTGCCCCACAGCACTTGAAGCGCTTCACTATGTGCCCCACAGCACTTGAAGCGCTTCACTATGTGCCCCACAGCACTTGAAGCGATTCACTATGTGCCCCACAGCACTTGAAGCGCTTCACTATGTGCCCCACAGCACTTGAAGCGCTTCACTATGTGCCCCACAGCACTTGAAGCGCTTCACTATGTGCCCCACAGCACTTGAAGCGCTTCACTATGTGCCCCACAGCACTTGAAGCGCTTCACTATGTGCCCCACAGCACGTGCCTGTGTGAGGTTAGAGATCTGGATGTTGAAGCGCTTCATGCACTCCTGCACCTGATCCCGCCGCACTCCATGCCCTGCGCAAAGGGGGAGAGTGCATCGTACGGCGAGAGAGAGCATGGAAGGAGGGGCAGAGCGCATAACAGCGAATGCAAGGTTCATCATGCAACACAAGTGTACAATTCCTAAGAAGGCACAGCATTGCCATGCGTATCGAAATGCCATACCACGCCTGTCACTGCACAGCATGCCGCGAGTCAGAAGTGAAGTTCAATGACGCCCAAATCTCACTTAGAAAGTCGAGTTTCTGTACCTTTTCAAACCACAGCAGGCAGGCATACCGTTGTTGAGGAGCCAGCCATTGCGGTTCTCAAGTGATCCTGCCCGTGGCATGCCTTTTGAGTCGAGTCAACCGTTGAGCAGCCAGTCAGTGCAGTTATCAAGTGATCCTGCCTGCCCGTGACATGCGTTTGAGTCGACCCAAAAGAAGAGTCAAACCATTGAGCAGCCAGTCAGTGCGATTCTCAGTGGAGATCCTGCAAGTGACTTGCCTCTGAGACGAATCCAGAGTCATACCGTTGAGCAGCCAGTCAGTGCGATTCTCGATGGAGATCTTGCGGGTGACGTGCACCTCTTCCCCCGCCACGTCCCCCCGCAGCACGATGCTGATCTCCGCACTGCGCTCCCCCCGCTGCACAAACTCCCCCACGTGCGCCGCCCGTCCCAGCATCTGCCACCCAGCACAGAGGGGAAGGGGAAGGGCGGAGGGGGGGCGGTCGGGAACGGGGGATGGGGTTGTGCGGGGGAAAGGGTGGGGAGAGAGAACAAGTCGCGACTTCTGAAAGTTCTCAGCGGTGAATCCAGTGATGCTGACTGGCGTACACTCCCCAGCGCAGCACGATGCTCCGCACTGTGCTCGCCCGCTGTGCGCCGCCCGGCCCAGAATCTGCAAACCAGCAGATCAGGGAGGGGGCCAGAGGGGGGAAGAAACAGGAGGGTAGGAATGGCGAGGGTAGGAATGGCGAGGGTAGGAATGGCGAGGGTAGGAATGGCGAGGGTAGGAATGGCGAGGGTAGGAATGGCGAGGGTAGGAATGGCGAGGGTAGGAATGGCGAGGGTAGGAATGGCGAGGGTAGGAATGGCGAGGGTAGGAATGGCGAGGGTAGGAATGGCGAGGGTAGGAATGGCGAGGGTAGGAATGGCGAGGGTAGGAATGGCGAGGGTAGGAATGGCGAGGGTAGGAATGGCGAGGGTTAAGTGACAAATGAGGAACCTCGGAACAGAAGTAAAAGTCAAACTTCTGAAAATACTGTTTCGAGGTCTCGGGTTTTCCCTCCCACCATTTGCCTGCTTGGTAAACTGACGAGTGAGGGTCCGGTTCAGTTCAGTCTACGGGAGGAAGAGAGGGGAAGCAGCGATTACCTTGGGGTTCTCCGCCCAGCCCCAGCCCGATGGCGCAGACGAGGGAGCTCTTGCCCGACAAGTGTGCCACCAATCAATCACGCACTCGTGCACTGATGCAGCTCACCTTGGGTTCACCCCCCAGCCCCAGCCCGATGGCGCAGACGAGGGAGCTCTTGCCGGAGCCGTTGGGTTGAGTCCAGGCATCAGGTTCGGTGTGACATAGAAAGAGTGAGCACAATGCTCACCTTGGGTTCTCCGCCCAGCCCCAGCCCGATGGCGCAGACGAGGGAGCTCTTGCCGGAGCCGTTGGGTTGAGTCCAGGCATCAGGATCGGTGTGACATAGAAAGAGTGAGCACAATGCTCACCTTGGGTTCTCCGCCCAGCCCCAGCCTGATGGCGCAGACGAGGGAGCTCTTGCCGGAGCCGTTGGGTTGAGTCCAGGCATCAGGATCGGTGTGACATAGAAAGAGTGAGCACAATGCTCACCTTGGGTTCTCCGCCCAGCCCCAGCCTGATGGCGCAGACGAGGGAGCTCTTGCCGGAGCCGTTGGGTTGAGTCCAGGCATCAGGATCGGTGTGACATAGAAAGAGTGAGCACAATGCTCACCTTGGGTTCTCCGCCCAGCCCCAGCCCGATAGCGCAGACGAGCGAGCTCTTGCCGGAGCCGTTGGGCCCCACGATGAGGTTGAGGCGCGGCGAGGGGCGCGCTGAGATGGACGCATACGTCATGAAGTGTTTCACCTGCACCAATAGGATATTGCCAGGCTGGAACCCGTCCTCGCCTCTGATTGGTGTGTGGAGAGCAACATCAACATTGGCAGGAAGAAGGGGAAGAGAGACATGGGTGCAGAGGGGGGAGGGCGGAGGAAGGGGAGGGGAGTGAAAGGGGAGGGAAAGGGAAGGAAGGGGAGGAAGGGGAGGGGAGTGAGAGGGTTGTGATGGGACGCTGGAAGGTGGGAAGGGATGGTCGTGAGGAGCAAGCAACGTAATCACAGTGGTATGACGCTGAAAAATCAATTTTGAGGCTGCTCAGAAATAGTACTGTGGCATGGCGCTAGGATTCAAACTTTTGGCTTCCGCAAAAATAGTACAGTGGTATGACGAGGCGCAAAGAATAAGGTATTGAGGCTCCTCAGAAATAGTACCGTGGCATGGCGCGAGGAAGAGCCACTGTTGCCTGTGTCGGTGTGCCTTCAGGTCCGTCCCGATCCTCCCCCATACCGGACGGAGTAACCGGACGTTCGGCGTCTTCTTCAGGCTCGGCGCGTTCGCGAGCGCGAGGCTGCGTACTAGGTCCGGCAGCCTGCGAATCCCGAACGTAGCCATCTGGCTCGTAACCGACAGCCTCGGCATGATAGCCGTTGTTGCTCTCAACCACTTTTTCCTTGCCCTTGGCGCGAGAGACGTTTTCCCGCTTCGCCACGACAGCAGCCTCCCGTTTCACCATTCCAGCTTGGCGCCTCACGGCCACGTCAGCTTCACTTTTCACCGGGCCCGCGGCTCGTTCTCGCTTCACCACGTCAGCCGGCTGCTGCGAAGAGGAACCATCGCCGCCGCTCGCTCCCCCCGTCCTAAGTCGCTTGCTCCGGCGAGTCCCGCTTTCATCTGAGCCGTTCATCTCCGCACGACGATCATCGCGTCGCTCACGCGTCGTCTGTGGTTCGGCATGGGCCTCCTCCGCGGCTACCTCCGCAATCCCCGCTACCTCCTGCCCCTCCTCCGCATCCTCTCGCTCCACCTCCTCCTGTACGCTCGTCGACCGGGTCACGCGCCTCGCCGACTCGCCTGAACGACTAACGCGCTCCCGCTTCGGCGCCATGAGCCTCGCTCGACCCGTGGATGACTATCGCGAAGGGTTAGAGCACGACACAATCTATGTTGACGACATTACTACAGAGCGCGACATTGGAAAGCTAATGCGAGCTCTCAAAACTGAACGAAGGATACAGCAAGGCACGAGAACCTACGAAGCAGAGCGACGTTTATATCCCAGAGAAGGACTGCTAGCCATGCAGAGTGAGGACTGGGGCCAAGCCGGAAACTATCGAGGTCGTTCCTAGGGAGTTGCAAGCGTATTTTCGAGGTGGCGGTTCGCTCTCAAAGTGTAAATCACGTTCCAACTTTGGAACCGCTTTCTGTTCTGCAAAGTTCGTTTCCCGCCCTTCCAGCATTCCTCCCACTGTAGCACGTGCGGAGAGTGTAGTCACTTGAGAAAAACTTGATATACGGTATCAGAAGCAATATTATATACACTAGCGTTATTTGTTGTACTACAACCAAGCATTTACTAGTCAGCATTCCACGAAGTGCATCTCATGCCTTGACTTGAATGGCCACTTTCATGTTGCCAGGCGAGCAGTGGCCAGGCACACTGCAGGAGAAGTAAAGGGTCTGGCCCCTTGCTGACTGCGGCACCTTGTACCTGAGCATGTGACATGATCATCAAAACAAGCAGTTGACATTTCACATACTAGACGAAATCGAGCCATAAAACCAATCCAAGGCAGTCCACCATCTAACAAAGCTCAGTCACTCCAGCTATCGAAGGCAATTGTTGGTGGAATCATCAATGGTCCAAACTGGCTAGAAAACGGTGTGCTCACCTGTACGTCTTGGAGTTGACGATCCGTGTGAGCTTCTTAGCAGCTCCGAAGTTACAGCTTCCATAGGTGCCCTCTGAGTCCATGAGGACCACGTCATGGGGAATGACGCCCCTCCACTTGAACACTGCAGGTGCGTTTATGTGCCACAAATGGTGAGAGAGGAGCACATGCGCGCACACTGGAATCAGTGATGAACCGGATGGAACAGGTAACGGACTGGATGGAATGGGTAATGGACTAAGCTCACGAGCCACACATCACGGGCCACAAGTCACAGGCCATGAGCAACAGCAGGGTATAGAGGGGACATTCAAGTTTTTAGATGCCTCAAAGCTCACTGCTTTTGAGTAAGAGCAGAGCCGAGCAACAACACATGCCACGAGTAGCAGGAAGGTGACAAGGAGACGTACCGAGCACATCGCCTGCACGAGCAGCCGTCGAGGGGCGCCAGTTGTGCAGGTTGTAGCGCCAGGGACTGCGCCCCCTGCCACCCACGGTGATCGCTCTGGCCTGACATCAGGGGAAGGGCACGAGGAGAGAGGCGTTTTGTCTCCAACGAAACATGAAACGGAACGGATGGACACGAGGGAAGAAGGCAAAACACGCGATGAAATGGCCAATACTGAAATGAACCGCTGTGACAATGGCTGGTTTAACAATAGGTTTCACACATCGGGAGCATGTCGGATTAGCTTTCTGTGGCATACTCCCTAGCTTCATAGGAATAAAAAATGCAGACTCTGAGTCGGAGAGAAGAGTGCAGCAGGGGAGTAAATTCGCACCTCTGCTTGGGTTGCGCCTGAAGCCAGAAAGAATTCATGTCGTTCAACCCGAGTTTGCGGATCGCGAGGATGGCAAGCGAAAAAAAGAGAAACAGAAACACAGAATAACGCGGGGAATAGAACACAGAGAAATGGGGAGAGAAGGCAGAACAGAGGAACAGGGGAAGAGGGAAACGCAGCAAATAGGGAGACAGGGAAGCAGAGAGAGAGAGAGAGAGAGAGAGAGAGAGAGAGAGAGAGAGAGAGAGAGACAGGGAAGCAGAGAGAGAGAGAGAGAGAGAGAGAGAGAGAGACAGGGGAGCAGAGAGAGAGAGAGAGAGAGAGAGAGAGAGAGAGAGAGAGAGAGAGAGAGACAGGGAAGCAGAGAGAGAGAGAGAGAGACAGGGAAGCAGAGAGAGAGAGAGAGACAGGGAAGCAGAGAGAGAGAGAGAGAGAGAGAGAGGGAGAGAGAGAGAGAGAGAGGGAAGCAGAGAGAGAGAGAGAGAGAGAGAGAGAGACAGGGAAGCAGAGAGAGAGAGAGAGAGAGAGAGAGAGAGAGAGAGAGAGAGAGTGACAGGGAAGCAGAGAGAGAGAGAGAGAGAGAGAGAGAGAGAGAGAGAGAGAGACAGGGAAGCAGAGAGAGAGAGAGAGAGAGACAGGGAAGCAGAGAGAGAGAGAGAGAGACAGGGAAGCAGAGAGAGAGAGAGAGAGACAGGGAAGCAGAGAGAGAGAGAGAGAGAGAGAGAGAGAGAGACAGGGAAGCAGAGAGAGAGAGAGAGAGAGACAGGGAAGCAGAGAGAGAGAGAGAGAGACAGGGAAGCAGAGAGAGAGAGAGAGAGAGACAGGGAAGCAGAGAGAGAGAGAGAGAGAGAGAGAGAGAGAGAGAGAGAGAGAGAGAGAGAGACAGGGAAGCAGAGAGAGAGAGAGAGAGAGAGAGAGAGAGACAGGGAAACAGAGAGAGAGAGAGAGACAGGGAAGCAGAGAGAGAGAGAGAGAGAGAGGGAAGCAGAGAGAGAGAGAGAGAGAGGGAAGCAGAGAGAGAGAGAGAGAGACAGGGAAGCAGAGAGAGAGAGAGAGAGAGACAGGGAAGCAGAGAGAGAGAGAGAGAGACAGGGAAGCAGAGAGAGAGAGAGAGAGAGAGACAGGGAAGCAGAGAGAGAGAGAGAGAGAGACAGGGAAGCAGAGAGAGAGAGAGAGAGACAGGGAAGCAGAGAGAGAGAGAGAGAGACAGGGAAGCAGAGAGAGAGAGAGAGAGAGACAGGGAAGCAGAGAGAGAGAGAGAGAGACAGGGAAGCAGAGAGAGAGAGAGAGAGAGAGACAGGGAAGCAGAGAGAGAGAGAGAGAGAGACAGGGAAGCAGAGAGAGAGAGAGAGAGACAGGGAAGCAGAGAGAGAGAGAGAGAGAGAGAGAGGGAAGCAGAGAGAGAGAGAGAGAGAGACAGGGAAGCAGAGAGAGAGAGAGAGAGACAGGGAAGCAGAGAGAGAGAGAGAGAGACAGGGAAGCAGAGAGAGAGAGAGAGAGACAGGGAAGCAGAGAGAGAGAGAGAGAGAGACAGGGAAGCAGAGAGAGAGAGAGAGAGAGACAGGGAAGCAGAGAGAGAGAGAGAGAGAGACAGGGAAGCAGAGAGAGAGAGAGAGAGAGAGAGAGAGAGAGAGAGAGAGAGAGAGAGAGAGAGAGAGACAGGGAAGCAGAGAGAGAGAGAGAGAGAGAGAGAGAGAGAGAGAGAGAGAGAGAGAGAGAGAGAGAGAGAGAGAGAGAGAAAGCACGGAAGCAGGAAGAGATGGGAGCACGGAAGCAGGAAGAGATGGGAGCACGGAAGCAGGAAGAGATGGGAGCACAGGAACAAGGAGTGAAGGGGGACAGAAGACAGGGAAGGAGGACAGAAGACAGGGAAGGAAGCACAGAGAGACAGGAAGGAGGAGGGTATGAGTGTGTTGCTGAATGGTTTGAACAGCATCCGAAAGTGACACGGCATGAGGACTGGAGTGGGAGAGGAGCCGAAGCCGCAGATTTGGGTAAAGGCGACGCGAGGCCAAAGAGAATCAGCAAATGAAAGCGACGCCTTGGAAAGGCTTTGATAAATGGGCGTGAGGAAGAGGCCAGCCAAGCAACGAACGCAACCAGGCGAGAGACGGTTCAAGCGGAAGGCAGACGGTTCAAGCGGAAGGCAGACGGCTCAAGCGGAAGGCAAACGGTTCAAGCGGAAGGCAGACGGCTCAAGCGGAAGGCAAACGGTTCAAGCGGAAGGCAGGCGTACAGAGCAGGATGAGAAGCGCAGCAGTCGCGAGGGTGACGGCAGGGAGCGAGCGAGCCATGGCGATAAGCGAGGTTCGAAAGGCTTCAAGAGATGATTCAGTTTTTGAAGCGCTTCGAAAGTTGTGAGGCTTGGACAGATGTGACTCGAGCCGGACACCTGTGGCGCTGCGGCGCCGAACGGTTGTGCGAAGCGGCAGGAGGAAGACGGACTGTCGTCGGAATCGCCGAGCGGAAAGATACACCTTGGCGGACAGGTCACCTTGGAGAGGGTGATAGACCTCGCTCAACAATCTTCCAGCAACACGCTCTCAAGCGACGGTTGATAGACGGTCGCGGTAGGCGATGATAGAAGCTATGCGTCAGCTCTGCCTGTCCCCAACCGTTTGCTTTGAAACGCCTCAAGACGCCACGGCGCAGGCGATAGGCGCGCTGTGTCTGACCTGCCCGCCCGAGTGATGTCTCTAAAGCACGGCCTTGGCGATAGAAGCGCTGTGTCAGTCCTGACCGTCCTTAACCGCCGCGCGCGATCTCAGATCTGTGCTCGAACCGCCAAGCACGGGCTTCGCGATTACAGGTTTTTGCGGTGAAGAGAAGGTGAGTTTAAAAGCAGGGCTTCTGTGCGAGTGAGGCTTCTGTGCGAGTGAGGCTTCTGTGCGAGTGAACCGTGAAGTAATGCCTAGTGTGTCCAAGTCTCTGACATCTTTGAATGCATTACTCATAAATTATATATGTAGCCGCTCTTCTTACTCCGGTCCTTGCTCCTCGACTGGAAAGTACTCCGTCCTGCACTCGCACGCTACGAACCGACGTCGCGTCTTGCGTGAATCTGGTAAAACAATTCGGCCTAGGTCCGTTGCTGCCGGGGGAACCTGGATTCTAAAATGCGGCTGAGCCGCGTTGCTTCTCCCCGCTCGCCGTGCGCGCCACTGCATTTCGTTCAAGCGTTGGTGTCTGTGGAGCAGGGAAGGGACATGCTCTCACACTCGCGCGCAGTGTATACAGTACAAAGGTCGAGATGATGCCGCGTGCAAGGTTTGACCAGCTCGAATTGAGACGAGAGGGAAGAAAGCAAGACGCCACGTTGCTTCCTACTCGTCCTGCCAGCCACATTCCGCAGCATTCTGAGCGGCGGCACTCTCACTGTCTCTCCTCGCACTCACTCCAAGCGCCACCGACCGACTAATGGTCCGTACTGTACAGCGATCCGACCTGTCCTAAACCATAGTGACCATTCATTCAGTCACCAGGCCTAGTACTATACCGTGCTTCGCTTCTACGTACATGGGCGAATGTGGGAACGGCTCGTCTGAGGAAGGCTCGCGTAGCGGCGACGACGAATCGCAAAGAAACGCGTGGTGTCGGCGACGCATCCTGCTTTGAATGATTGCTCAAAGCAGGTTTTGGTACATTCACGCTGTGGTGTGTGGTGGTGAAGGGAGGAGTCAGCCAATGGAGGCTCTGTACAGTGGGGATATGGGGGGGTGGGGGGAGGAGTTTAATCCGTAGGTGCATGCACCTGTGGTCCAAGAAGTGGCTGGATACGTACCCGTTAATGGCTTCACTCGATGGCTTGTGAAGCAGACTTGACTCGATATTATCTGAAAGGTGTGAATTGAGCAGAATGTCTCTTTTCCAGTTGGCTAAAGTTCAGTTCAGTTCAAGGTATCATCAACTTTCACCATACTGCAATGTAACGAGTGCTGTCAAGCGCAACAAAACCGAACAGCAAGATAAAATAACTTATTGTACTGTATGGCGTTTTAAAACAATTGACACAGGAACAAGTCAGCCGCATGAAGCTCTATGGTATGTTTCTTCACTGCATTCTCCCACAAGCAGTTATATACAGTACGCCAAAAGATTAGCTAACAGCACGCCAAAAGAAACAATGATAGTAGAAACTCAAGCGTGGATTGGTACTGCCACTTTCATGTTATCCAAAGAGCAGTGCCCAGGCACGCTGCATGAGAAGAGAATGGATGTGCCCTTGGCTGACGCTGGCACCTTGTACCTGACGCACATTCAAACGATTGGTGGGGGGGCGCAAGAAATAGCCATTGAAGAAATGACTGCGTAAGAGGATGGTAACAATTGACTGAGCTATTTGGGAGCAAAAAATACGTGTAGTGGAAGACCTTGGCGGATAATCGTGTGGACTGCAGTGACAGCCGCAAGAGGGATCACAGCCACCAGGCAAGGAAGTCCAGCAACAGGAAGCCACAGCCACCAACACAGATTCATCAAAATGTGTCGCACACTCACTTGTAGTTCACCGCCCCATTAGTCCGTCTCCCCAGCAGCAAAGCCAAAACCGCAGGCATCATGCGCATCTACAAACATTAACACATTTGCACTCGTGTGCTCTTCCCAACTCTTGTGATGCCAGTCGTCATAGTAGCAGCCCCAAAGCCGCAGGTACCGGTGCCAAGAATATATAAGCTGGAATGCCTCAACTCAAAACGCTCCTATGCGCACTCACTTGTACTTCCCCGCGCTTGTGATGCCGGTCTTCTTAGTGGCAGCACCAAAGTTGCAGTTGTTGTACGCGTCCAAGCTGTTCATGATCCACACGTCGTGCGGCACGCCAGTCCACTTGAACACTGCAGGCAGGGGTGCGGAAAGTGGGGCAGGGAAGCACACGCAAGTGAGGCCAGTGCGATGGGGCCAGTGGGGTGAGGCAGCTCCGAAGTTGCCGTTGTTGTAAAAGTCCACGGTGCAGTGGGGAACCGAAATAAGGAGGGGGCATTCTTAATTATAACATCCCCTTGCAGCGACCACTGTCAAGGAGGGGGCGTGAATGACCCCCTTAGGCTTCCAGTTCTACACGCCGAATCCCCACGGACTGAATTTTGGGTCGACTCAAAAGCCACCTCGCTTACCGAGAGTGTCCCCGGCGTGAATGACGCCCTTGGGCTTCCACTTCTTCACGCCGAATCCCCACGGACTCAACCCACTGCCTCCCACTGTGAACACCTTGGCCTGTTGGGCACGGCGATGGCAGATCGGAAGAGAGTGAAAAGAATAAGAGGAAGACAGAGACTCAAAGCGGCCAGGATATAATGAGACGACTTTTGAGACGTGCCAGGGTATAATGAGATAAAGAGCAGCAGAAAGGCAGAGGGGTGGCACTGGGATGTGCGGAGAGGGTGAGGCAGAGAGGACGAACGGTGGGACTTGAGAATAAAGGACGGGGTACGGAAGAAGGGGCAAGAGGCAGGAGGGCAAGAGAGCACGAGCACGAGACAGGAGAAGGGTGCAAGAGAGCAGTACCTCTGACTGGATTGCGCCTGCCACCAGGAGAAATATGGAGAGGGGTAAAAGGGGGAAGCAGCGGGGGGAGAGAGAAAAGAGACACGGGAAGGGGAAAAACGGGGGGGATGAGCGAGTAATGGAAAGAAAGGCTTTCATGAGCGAGATGATGGACGAAGAAGCGCAGAAGGAGGAGGGCAGCAAAGCAACAGTGCATGGGAGTAGCAGAGCAGGAGGGCAGGTGGTCAAAACAGACTGGCAGAGACTCTCCAAGAAAGAAAGAGAGAAAACGAAGCAATGCGGCAAAACCGGCGAATCTAAGCGTGAGGATGACGCGAGAGACGCGGGAGCTAGTACGAGTGGCACGCGGAGTCACGCGGAGCAACGGAGAGGCGTTGCACAGAACGACTCGAGTGAGTTTCTTATGATAATAGCATAAAGTCCCAGATTCCTGAGAGTCGGTGGGCGAAAGGGGGATCAGCGCGTACAGAGCAGCACGATGAGCGCTGTGGCAGTGAGGGCAATCGCAGCAAGCGAGCGAGTCATGGCGACGACGGAAGGGCGCGCGACACGGGAGCAGCTTCTCTTGAATAATCGAGTCGCCTCGACGACTACGAGATAGCGTAGAGGAGTCGTACTCGGAGTCGCGTTAAGTTGGGGCCAGCCGCACGAAAGTCGAGATCTCGTGCTAGGGAAAAATAAATATGGCGAAGTGGGGAACGGCGGGAAGTCGGCGAGGGGACCCAAGGATCACTAAGGAAAAGAGAAGGTGGTGTGTCCAAGAATGAGTCGAGCTTATTTCTACTAGGTCGGAGGGTGTGGTTCTTGTTTGCTCGGGTCGGGTCGTTTTTCCGTCCCAGCGGCCAAAAAGGTTCCGCTTTGGTCGGCTCGGCTCCTTTCCATCTTCACTGCCTTTCGCCGAGTCCCCTGCGTCGACTCGGACCTTCCAAAACTGGAGCAGGTGATGTGATGGCAGCATTCCTTCCACTCCCCTCTCCCGCCTCATCCCCATCCAGAGTTCCCCGCGCTCCCCACTCTCCACGCTTCAACAGTACATTTCCGCCTCCTCCTCATCCCCCACCCCGCATCTTTTCCCGCCAGCCACCCTTTTGGCTCACGCATGCGGTGATGTGAGGAAAGATCGTGGAACGAGGTGGTTGCACCTGCATGCCGCCAATGACGTTTTGGTGGCCTCGCCACTGCCATGCCACAACTGTGTACTGTGCTGTTGCCCCATCGCGGAACTGGCTGGCGAGCCCCCCACCCCACCACAACACAACTGTGCGAACGAGCGGCAAAACCCTGCACTGAAAATCGGACGGCTAGATAAACAGATACCGTATTGTTGAGATGAGAATCGAACGGCAAAGAGATGATAAGCAGCAGCTCTGAAAGAAAGACGACTCATCATCGGAAGCGTGGCGAACGGAGAGCGACGTAGGCACTCCACCGACAGAAAGGTCCAGAAGTCAGATAGCCTATCAGAGAAGCTCCTATGGTCGGTGCGTTACATGCCTCAGTCTGTTTGTGGCAGCTCCGTTACCAACCTTGTGAGTGACGGTGTACACTTCCTGATTTCCTTTCATCTTACCCTTCACAGCACTCCACGCCCTTAGACCAAGCCCACTCCCCTGTGTCTCTTCAGGCAATCACAAAAGAAACATAAAAGAAATACCACCTTTGCGCTTTTGTGCGTTACTTGAAGTTTGGCATGATCCAGGAACTTCGTGTGAGCATGTGGTACTCCTAAAAAAATGTTCTGGTAATTACCATGAATTCCATCCTGAAACTCCAATGCCATCTCATACAAACGTCATTCCAGAGGTGGAACATCTATGACTGCATGCGAACATCGTTCGTACTCCATGGCATGGCGCAAAGATTTCAAAAGCATTCGTTAACAAGACAACAAGATATGCCTGTACAGGAAACAACAAAACAACGAGGATAAAACCAATCTCCCTACTATTCATACCCTTGTGATGGAGCAGACAGTTGGCTCCCTACAGCGAAAGCAATTGCTTCATCAAAAGAACGGGTCGGATGCTCAACACTTTGAATGATCAAATCAACCGCATTCGGCTCCGTCCTATCGCCCCCAAATACACTCTCTTGTATGCCCAGAAGCTCCGAGACAACTTGGTCCATGTGGGGCAGGGCCTCAGATTCGTTTTGGGTGACCCTGAGCACTCAGGGTCCTTTGGGGCTGTAACACTGATCATCAGGGTTGTAAATGGAGAAACACTGATTTCTCAGGGTTAGAAAAAAAAAAACCCTGACACATCAGCGTGAGTTTAAAAAAAACACTGGCGGTGAGAATCCACAACAACTATCACAAGTATAATAAGTTAAGAAAAGTTCAAATATGGTTCTAATGAGCTTCTAATCTAACTACAGGCACAGACCACTTGGCGCTCACACCGCACACACAATTCACATCACACACATGTCTTCATCTTCGTCACTACCACCACCATCGCTCATAGAACCGTGCATGTGCACGGGGGTCTCTGTCCCCCACCCAGAGCCAGCACCACCAGCATCATCCTCGTCCACCTTCTCTTTCCCCTTAGCACTAGGTTGCTTCTTTGGTGCTGCCACTGTTGTGATGGGCTTGCGCTTCTTGTACGCCCTCCAGATCATCACCACCTCCGCCCAGTCGGGCTCGTACGGCAGCAATGCCATGCACATGAGGTCCGACAGCCGCGCATCCTTGATGGCACCCCTCAGCCAGCTCTTGATGATGTTTTGACGCGAGAACCCCCGCTCGCACTCGACTGTGCTCAACGGTAGCACAGCGACAGCCATCCACAGCTTCACCAGGTTGGGGTACGCGTCCTCCCAGTCAGGAGACTTCAGCATCGCCGAGAGACCCGGGTAGAACTTTCTCTCGGACTTCGGGGCTCCAGCGAGAACCGTGCAGAACGTGCGGAGGTCCTTGAACGCCTTCTTCTTGTTGACACCTGGAGGGAGTCAGGGAGTGCGCAAGCACAAGGAAAAGAACAAGGTAAGCAAGGCTCACCAGACAAGTGGTGCCAGTGTTTAGGTGCTACACAACAAAGCAGCACAAACAACGATGCACAGACCAAAGAGAAGTACGTACCTGGAACGATCTCGTCGCACTCTTGGGCCCTGAAGAGCGTCGTGAGGGACTCAAGGTGCTCCGTGCAGACCATGGAACGCTCCTGCCGTCCATGGGGCCACTCGTCGGGCATGAACAGCTTCACACCGCTCAGCTTGTCGAGTGAACCCAATCGCTCATCCAGGTTATGCACGAGCGCCTCCGCCATCGCCGTGCACTGCTCCACGCATCGCTCATGGGTCCCTGCAATGGGGTAGCCTTCAAGGGGGGAATCATGCAGCACGTAGCAGTGAGAAGTGGGCCGGCCGTCGGAGTCAACCCACTCGACCTCCACTCTCCGCACCCCATTCGGTCCATGTCGTGCAATGAAGGGCGACAGCTTCTCGCTCAGGCCGCCGTCGAAGTCGTCGCCACAATCCACATAACGGCTGTTGATGTGGGTTGTCGTGCGACGGATCTGGCCTTGAATTGCCAGCAGGTCAATCTGCCACACAAAAACAGTAGGGAAAGCACAGCCAGGTTTCAATCATGAAGCAGAACTAGCCGTAGCTAGCGGCCCTAAACCCACAGTCCTCACGGCACACAGGGATGCACAGGCAAAAGCAGGATCTCACCTGTCGATGCTGGAACGTCTTGCTGAGCACGTTCAGCTGTTCCAGCACGTCAGCGAGGAAGCGCAGCATGAACTGGAATCTGTAGCTGGTCACCATCTGGTACATGGGCTTGTTTCCCAGCTCGTGCACCATCACGACGACCCCCGGAAGGACTGCAAGAAGTCGGCAGACTGCATCGCCGCGTGAGAGCCAACGCACATCATTGATTCCTTGGAGCTCCAGGTTAGTCTGAGTGAAGACTTCCTGAAGGTCCAGGAAGCGCTGGTGCCAGGGTCCTGATGAGCCGAGGTAGGTAGAGAGCCAGCGGATGAAGCTGTCGACCATGCCAAACTCCGGTAGGGACTCTGCCGCGTCCTTGGCCGCGAGTGCTTCCCTGCGATTAAAACAAAAAACAGTCGCATTTGGTTAAGAAGAAGGAAGGACACCATGTTCAAATAACAAATACCAGTCGCATCGGACACTGCATCAACCACCGTACCTGTGAGCGATGCAGTGGCAGGACACCAGATGCGGAACGCGCGTCCTCAGCCTCGCCACCAGCCCGTTTTTGGATCCGACCATGACGCTCGCCCCGTCGGTGCTGATGCCCGTGATTCGGCGCAGGTCAATGCCGACGGCATTGACATGGGATAAGAGCAACGCCACCAGCGATGCGGCGTCTGCCCTGTCCACGGTTAGGAGGGCAAAGAACTCGGTGACTACTGCCCCGTCGCGGATGAATGTGGCATAGATGATGAGATGCTTCCCACGGCATCTGTCCGTAGACTCGTCACAGCTGAGGCCGATGTAGTGGCTTTGTAGGACGTATTCGAGTTGTGTTGTCTGCAGCCACACGGCCGTTGCCTGTGTTAGTTCCCCAAAGCCGTACCTGCATAGACACCGAACATATTTGTTAGGCTTACGTGGTTGTGAACAGGAGAGGCTTTTAATGCATGCGCTCGTAAGCACTTACGTGGTGTAGTAAGTGCCGTATCCCTTTTTGGGAAAGCCGCGGACCTCGTTCTGAGCCATGTAGCGAACGAGGCGCACCCACGTCTCCATCGGCAGATGGTTCTGGGTGGTGAAGTGAAGGGAGTTCAGAAGGCTGATGACGCGGGTCGTCTCGTCATCTTTGGCGAGCGTATGCTCGTCAATTCGCGGCTGCTTCCCAGCCTGAGCTAGCATCTGCTTCTGGTGATTGATGGCCAACTGGTGCTTGTTCTTCGCGGCATGCCGCTTGAAGGCTTGGGTCTGAAGATCGGTTGCACCGTGCCCACTCTTGCCACACTTGCCACCGTCACCTGCAAAGTCGATGCACAATCTGCACTTGAACGCAGGCATGCCAGCAGTGTTTTTTATGAGGATGAGCCATGGGTAGTCGGTCGACCACGTCGACTTGAACGTTTCAAGGGCCTCTTCGTAAATCAGAGTGATTAGTGACGGTTTTTTAGAGTTAGATGGCGTGGGCGTAACGTGGTTTACCGACTCGCCGGCATCAGCGAGAGGACGTCCAGGATCTGTAGGATCGGCCCAACGGAGCACGGCCTGCTTGTAACGAGGCAGAGGCTTCGACGACGACGCACGAGATGGCAAGCGGACGCTCGGTCCGGCTGCTGACGGCACGGCCGGCTTAGCAGTATGCGCGGGCTGGGGACGATCGTCTCCGCGGCAGAGGCCAGACGCTTCACCAGTGTTTGCTACTGAGGCGACGGGACCTGGCTTCTCTTTTTCATGGGAGAGCGCGGAAACTATAAAATCTAGTCCCGTTCTGGCCTCCAGCATCTCGGTGGCGGCGTAAAGTGCATCGTCGTCATCATCACCGCAGCTGTTCTCACCGGTGATCGCCATGGCGCGTTCACGTCACCTTCCTGAATCGGTGAGTAGTAACGAGAAACCCTGGGAGAGAGATTGCAGAGATTGATGTTTCGGGAGGTGATGGAGTCTGGAGAGCTGGCTTCAGGGAGACTGCAGAGATTGATGTTTCGGAAAGGGATGGAGTCTGGAGAGCTGGAATGGCAGAATCATGAGACCCCCTGCGTGGGGTGCCTGAGCGGGCCGCCCCAGCACGCCCTGCCTTGGTGGAAAGAACAAGGCAGACCACTGGCCCACTGGGCCATTAGGTTTGGTTGTTTGTGCACATCAATGGAAAGTAATGACAAGTGTAGGTTATCCAACGTGACAACGGTACATTGCTTCAGCTGGGACAGCCAATCTCTTTACGCGTTTTGCCAACACAGCCCGAAATGAACCCGTTCAACTGTATCTGGGCGCGCCGCAGGGTGGCGTCGGTGCAGGGTGGGTTCATGCATGATGACGGCGCGCAAAACTGCGAGAATCACGGAGTTTTCGGTTTCAGGGTCGTCTCCGATACAACACTGACTCGTCAGTGTCGACAAACTAGAAACACTGGAAAATCAGGATTAGGAAAAGAAAAACACTGATTCATCAGGGTTGTAAAAACAAAAAGGCTGATTCATCAGGGTTATAATAAAAAACCGGGGTCAAACATCAGGAAATCAGGGTAAAATTCCTGGAATCTGAGGCCCTGATGTGGGGCCGATGGGATGTGGGCATGGTTGTGCAGCGCAGTGCCAGCTGCCCCAGTTGAAGGAGCGCGTCAGAGGGAGCATCCAGTGCCGGGTCCCTGAAGCCCTCTGCATCCCCACACGCCACCAGTGGCTCGACCTGAAGGCCGGTGGAGGTTAACCAAACAAGAAGCAGCGGGAGCGTGTGAGGCAGAGGGGAAGGAATGCGCGGGGGAGGGCACAGCATGCTAGGAAGGGGACAGCTGGCGCGCAAATGGAGGTAACACAAGCGCACTAGCTGCAGAATGAGAGAGGAGGGGGGGGGTGGGGGGGTGGGTTGTGGGGGGTTTACAGCGACCATTGGAAAGGTCGGTGCCCCAAGTTGTTCACTATGACCAATGGGCAATAGGCTTCTCAACGGACTCACCCATTGTCGAATGTGCACGTTTTGGTCCCCAATCTTCTGCAGTGCTCGCCGTGCCGTGAGTAGCTCTAGCATGACCACACCGTAGCTGCACAGCACAGGGGCATTGCAACAATGGAATGGGACCTCCAAGAATTCCTAGTCAGGTCAAGTCGCAATCCACAATCCAGCATTGCTACGCCGTAGCTGCAAAGGGCATGATGGAGCAGATGGATCAAGAAAGTACAAGACACAGCTCCACACCTTGACGGGTGATGCCATGCCATTCCATTCCATGCCACGCCATGCCATGCCATGCCACGCCACGCCACGCCACGCCACGCCACGCCACGCCACGCCACGCCACGCCATGCCATACCAAGCGATGGTGTGTGATGGTTCAGCCTACAAGGTGATGACGACCGCAAACACCTACACACCACCCCCTCCCTTTTCCCCCTTATTCCCCTGGGGTGACTTTTGACTTTTGAGACGTCTCAAAAGTAGCCCAGGGTGCCTTGTGGCTTCATCACAACTACCGTTGCAGTGCTTCCACCCACCTGCACACATCCCTCACATATCTACACACATCCTTCACCCACCTACACACATCCTTCTAGCCGGCCCTGCATGCATGCGTACCTGTACACGTCAGCGGCAGCGGTGGCCTTGCAGGACTTGGAGTAGGCGGGGTCCATGTAGCCGGGGGTGCGTTGTGGCCTCATCACAACTTATCATCACAGCTTACTTCTGCAGTTGTTCCACCCACCTGCACACCTAATTCTAACCGACCCTGTGAGACCCTGCGAGACTCTGCACCTGTAAACGTCGGCAGCAGCGGTGGCCTTGCGGGACTTGGAGTAGGCGGGGTCCATGTAGCCTGGGGTGCCCATGATGCGAGTCGTGTCGCCGGTCGAGCTCTCGTCCCCCATGCGTGCGATCCCAAAGTCTGCAATCTTGGCCTGGTGGTGGGAGGGGATATGTCACGTGAAGCACCAAGAGGGGGGATGTTGGCATGCTCGCTTGTGAGGCCTGACGGACGGGTTGCGAATAAACTAGCATACCAAATCTGTTCAATAAACAGATGGGTTCCAAATCCATCTGTTCAGTGAGCACACTGTTGATGGAGTTGCTTACTTAACGAACCCGCTCACCATCATATGGCGGTCCAGTAGGATGCTGGCTGGTTGACTTGTGAGTCGACTCTAACAACAAGATGTCTTTTGAGTCCAAAAAAAAAAAACGAGTTGACTTCTGCGTCGACTCGAAACCGAGTTGACTTTTGAGACGACTCAAAAACCAAATCCACTCACCGTCATGTGGCAGTCGAGTAGGATGTTAGCAGGTTTGATGTCGCGATGCACGATGCCAAAGCTGTGCAGGTAGTGCAGCCCTTGAGCCATGCCCACCAGCACACTCAGGCGCTGCTTCAGGGTGAGCGGACGGGTGCACGAGTCTGCAAAAAAAGGGGTTGAAGGAGTTACGAACGGGGAACACAAGGAGAAGCCGCAGGGGAGCAATCCCATGTAAGTCAAGAGGCAGGACGTGAGACCATGCCCTCCCTCATGGTTACAATTTACAAACACTGGGGACCATTTTATCCCCTCTTTAGCCGTTGCGTACATTTGAGACCACGTCCCTCGTTGATGTCACATGCGGTTTTTGGCACGCGATTGTTGTTCTCAGTTGGACTTCGTCCCCAGGACTATGATCCAGTACATGATGTATTGATACTTCCAAAGTAACATTTTTTCTTTCTGTAACCTAATATATACAAAACAGAAGGAGAAACACGAGAATTGAAAATGTCAATAGTGAAAAGGAAGTGTAACGGTGGCATGCTCTCAAATCATATTTGTGACCTCTCACCCTTGTCACCATGCAAATAGCGAAGCAGGTCGCCCCCATCCATGAACTCATACACCACGATCTGCTCATGCTCCTCTGTCTTCGCATCCATGTGCACACAGTACCCCAGCAACCGCACCAGGTTCGGGTGGTGCTTCGATGCCATTTGCTGCACCTGTTGGAGTGACAAGGGAGCAGAGGAGTGGGGCGGCGATGGCGAGTGTTGAATTACTTAAAAAAAAAAAAGCTCGGCAGCCATTCTCGCATGCCATTTGCTGCACCTGTTGAAGTCAAACGAGGGGGGGCGGGCCATATAGATAGAGAATGCTGCTTGTGGTTGAAAGGAAGGCCTGCTGCTTGTGGTTGAAAGGAACACCTGCTGCTTGCAAGCCATCTGCTTCACCTGTTGGCTGGGAGTAGCGGCAAACTTCAGAGTCAACTAAAGAACGCAGTGGCAAAAATTGGGGAAATCGATGATTGCGACTTGTACCATTTCTAGTGGGACCAAATCGCATTGCCTTCAGGATGGCTAGGTAAGTCCATAACAAGTCTTGGTGTTGTTTGCATGCCATCTGCGGGACTGGGAAGGGTAGGATTGGCGTCGGGTGGGGGGAGGCAGAGGCGCATGAGCAACTTGTACCATTTCTAGTGGCAAGAGCATGTGGTGGAATCCGAGGTACATTGGAGAGGAAGTGCCATGACATGATTGTGAGGCGCTTTTGAGAACTCTCAAAAAGTGCCATGACATGCTTGTGAGGTGGCCTCAAAAGACATGCGTGCCATCTGCTGGAACTCCTGGCATGACCAAGGGGCCAACGCGGCTTGGAATGTTCTCATTCTTTAATGTTTGACAGCTCTTGCAAATTTGTCGGCACGGACGCGTTTTGTGCCCATCGCACCATCCAAGAAAGGTGCACGGCACAGGCACAACAGATTCGCTAGAACAGTGAAGAATTGTACCAACAACCGTAAATCTGCACTCAGTTGTGACATCACACATGGCTTTCCAAACCTAGAATTCGCCCTGTTGACTTTGTTTCGTTCCGCTGAACAATGGCATCAGCTGCGGCGCGCCGCGCACCTCCATTCACGGCTCCATCTCGCCTCACGCCTCACCTCTCTGCGAAAGTCCTTGGTGATGATCTTGCCGCGCTTCACAGCCCACACACTGCCAAGGTCGCCTTTTGATTTGCCTAATAAATCGGCTCCATCTCGCCTCACCCTCACCCACCTCTCTCCGGAAGTCTTTGGTGATGATTTTGGCGCGCTTCACAGCCCACACAGTGCCAGGGTCGCCGCCAGGGGGCACACCTCGGAACACATCGCCATACCCGCCCGACCCCACGAGGTTGCTTTGCGACCAGTTGTCAGTGGCAACCACCAGCTCCTCCAGCTGCATCTCCCTACACAGGGACACTGCCGCCGCCGCTGCTGTGCTGCTGCTGCTGCTGCTCCAGTGCCCTTGGCCAGTGTCTGCCACTCCCTTGCGCCCCTTGGCTTTTTGGGGCTGGTGGAGATGGTGGTGCCGTAGCCAGAGCAGGAGAGTGAGGATGAGTAGGAGGAGGAGACATGAAGCGCCGACTGCGATTCCTGCTATGGCTGCGGATGATAGTCCCGGTGACGGCTCTGTGTTCGCAACTGGGCACGGGTGGCATGGGATGGGAGAGAGGGGAGGGTTTGGGATGTGGCACGGGTGAAGTGGGATGGGAGGGGAGGAGAGGATTTGGGATGTGGCGCCATGAGTTGGGAACACTTTTGAGGTGCCTCAGAATGACGGCTGACATGGGTGTGTGGTGCTGTGATGGCACGGGTGGACTTGGATGGGAGGGACTGAGGTGTGGCGCCAAGTTCAACAGTTTAGGTGGTCACGATTGCATGTAACTCCCAATTCACTAGTGTTGTTCTACACAGGGACGTGAGACGCATAAGTAACAGTGGCGGTCTAACTCTAACCAATGGACAGAAAGAAAGAAAAAGGAAGAAAAAGGAAGAAAAAGGGAGGGAAGCGATGGCATGGACGAGAAAATAATTGCCGGGAAAGGAAGGGAAGGGATGTGATGGAATGGGAGGGG